TAGTAGTAGTAGTAGCAATAATGATAACAATAATAAAAATAATAATACAAATATTAATAAGAATAAGAATAATCATCATAATAGTAGCAGCAGCTGCTTTTGTTGTTGTTGCTGTAGCAACGTTGTCAGCATGAGCGTGCCATGCCTTGCCAAGCTTCGCATCCACTTTGTCCACAGCTTCGTGGAGCCGGCGAATCCTGAACTTCGGCAACTCAGATAAATCCCAAGATACCGCAAGAGGAAAATGTACTGCTGGCATGAGCAGACTCACTTCAACACTGCCGAGGCTGTTATGCTACATGCTTTGATGCTGTGCTTTGCCTTGCAACGACAGGAGTCTCAAAAACAAAGTGGGCACTTCCGCAGTACTACGACAGCACAAGCCTTTGCAGGCTGTTGTTTCTTTGCCTGAGGCCGAGAGAGGGGGACTGCCATGGAAATTGAATGAGTCCGTATCCGTAACCCTTCAAAGCCGCGAGCTATCCAGGCTCATGCCAGGGCTCATGTTAAGGTTAAGCGCATTCAACTTGTCCGGGCGATTCAAGGTGATCTCACAAGCGCCGCCGTCCGGTGAGAACCTCGTCCTGACGGCGCAAATCCGTGGACAAAGACGGATGAAGCTGGAGCATGGGCAAGTGGCAGGACTTCCGCCGCCATCTTCCGCCAGGCCGCGGCTCAATCCATCAGGCAGAGTTCTCTGGCATGCTGATGTGAAGTTGACTTTCCATTTAGCAAGGTCATCGTAAACAGGGCACATGCCTGACACAAACTTTGAATCAGGACGATTGCGAATCGGCAAATTGAGTCCTACGCTGAAGCTGCGATCGGATTTCATCACGTAACTGCACTGTTGAACGATGGCTCGGGGCCCAACTTGCGACTTGCAAGAGGTTCAACTAGCAAAACATTGCCATTGATTGACCAGCTGCACGAGGCCCTCCCGAGACACTGCAACCCGCTCCACCGCTTGAGCAGGACCACGGGAGCATGGGCCTTGACCTGCCAAGGACAGGCCGCCAGTTGCCGGAACCAGAAGCCATGCGAAATGCTACAAGACTTCCAGACTTCCTCTCACGAGGCTCGTGCCAGATCAGAGAGGCTGAGGTTCGTCAGCCCGGCAAGGCCTCAACAGCTGAGATGCTTGAAAAAGCTAAAACGGTAGGCCTCGGGCGGCTTCGGAGGCGCGAGACAGTGCGGTCACTTCCAAGCAGCTTAGCGAGTCTCAGCACGCCACGCTCAACCGGTTGTCCAGGAACGGCGTTCTGCAAATGGAACACAAGTTGTGAGGACTCCTAGTTTATTCCGTTCGCGCTATCGCAGTCTACTCCCCCTCACTCCACTCTACACTACGCTCGCACTCTCACCCACCTCTGCTCCCACTGTTCCCACTCTCACTTGTTTCAAGCTCTGTTGACAATGGAGAACACGGTGCGACCCATGTCAGCGTTGCTCTGCAGCCTACCGTTTTCTCCCCTCACTTACCTACTACAATTTGGAAAACTGCTGCATTCCACTCGCTCTCATGCCAGCCGACATTGAGGGAAGCATCGTGTGCCACATTCTACTCTACTCTCTGGACTCCTCCTGATCCGTTTTCAGCGCGCCATCCAACTTGACCTCGCCGGAGCTGTGGTGCACTAGCATGCAGAAGAGCTGAGCTCCCAAAGACGTTTCTGATCTCATAACCAACATGCGGCTTCAAATGCCAAGCTCGCAGCCCAAACTCCTGCAACACGACCGCACTTCAGTCCCATCGCCAGGCAAAAAGCGACCGGTCAACTTGCAAGGAGAGAACTCTCTGCTCCTTGGCTGGTGCCCGTGGCCATCTCCATCCAGCCGTCTGGTCTGCCCTCAACGAAGCCTGTGCGAGTTCGCAAGCATTAGAAGACCATGTGCAAGACTCCCTCTATAGGTCCACTTGCCTCGCAGAACTGTGTCCCTTGGCACAGATCCGACGCGCTTCGATGGATCCTGGTACATCAGAGCTACACATCGCACCGACAAGCACCAGGAACTAAGTCACAAGCCAGATCTACAGCTACGCTCGTGCCTCATCCGGCTCGCGATAAAGGAAAGTGCCCGTGGTGTCTACAATCCGCACGAACCTGGCAATGGTCGCATGGTCTCTCTTTCAAACTCTGCGCTTTCAATGTGTCCGTTTACGCACGCTGTAGTCATCTGCTCAGATCTGAGCACAGGTTGGTGGCTTCCTAGGCTTGTTTGTTGCAACGTGTCCGGCAGACACACCCTCTGGCACTGCTCGTTCCTCCTCGTCCTCCTCGTCTGACAAACCTCAGTTGAAACTCAACTCGCATTCAATTCATACAGTGGAAGCCCAAAAGTTGGAAGCCCAATGGCCTCAATCCTGAAGAGTAATGTATAGGGAATCCCAGCACTAATTGTCCTTGATCCGGTTTCCAACTTTGTGGGGTTTATTACAGAGCTTCATGTTTTGATTAATGTTGTGATTCTTTCATAATGAGCTCGACTCAAGCTAATGTCGAACTCACAACGCTAACCAACTCAGATTCTCAGAGCAGGCACACGCTCGGACGTGTACCAGCTCACTCTCACGAACACCCGCAAACATGCACAAATCACTCACACCGACACTCCATCCCTCGCTTTGAGAAAGTATGTAAGGTAATCACACACTTACTCACTCACTCACTCATGTCCTCACTGGCCCTCACACTCGCACCCGAAAGAAATTTGATGCATCTGTCTTTCGACATCTGTTCTCTCTGCGTTTGCGGCATTCTGCTTTCCTTTTCGTGAAGCGTAGCCCAGTATGGCCAGTGCAGTCGTCGGTAGCAGCACGGATTCATGACATTGGCTACGGGGCAGCCACTATCACCACTATCCAGGTCTCTCACCGCGACTCAGAGATTTCTAGAGGGCTTTGTGTCTATGCACAGCAGCTCCCAGCCGAGGCGCCGTCGCCGGCCTTGGGCTCCTTGCTCTCCTTGGGCTCCTTTGGGCTCCGAACAATCCGGAAGAAGGCCCTTCCCCGCCTTCCCCCTTTCCGCCCTCTGTGCCTTCGCGGTGGCCTCAGGCTCAGGGACTGCGACCTCCGAGACCGCCTCCGGCTCTTTGCTGTCGGCCTTCTTGGCCTCTCGCTTTTGCCTGCATGGCTGAACGCCGTTGCGGCTGCACCATGCGCTGATCCGGCCACAGCCCCATCTCCGTGCGAGCAACTTTGCTGCCGACGGCTGGGGTCAGGGCATTTGCTGTTCTCTGGATGCTGGCTCTTCCTCCTCCTCTGAGTCAGACTCCTGTTCCTGCACATATCAACTATCCGACCCACTCCGCCATGCGAACACTGCCGGCAGATTACAGAGTAAGCCCTGTCCTGATCCAATCCCAACATGAGCTCCTCGAAGAGGGTCCGAATCTCTGCATCCTGTCGAGATAGGTAGCACACTGCAAGCACGAACGTTCGCGAAGCTCACTGATCTGCTCTGGACTCATGAGAGCGCACAACAAGCTGGTTTTGCGCTCAGGCATGGGGT